ATGCATGTTGGGGAAACGGGGGGGAAATGGGGCGTTTAACATGGAGTCAGAACGGGGGTTGTTTAACATGGGACTAAAATATGGGGGTGGGAGTTAAACACGGAATAAAAAGGGGGGGAAGGGTTAACATGGGAGCTCAGGACAGTTTATCTCGGGTTTAATGGCGATTTACCACTGTTTCCGGTGTTTAGTTAAAATAAACCTTTGAGGTTATGTACCAGGTTCCAACAGTTTTCAATGTTCTTCCTAAAATAAAAGTAGGCATGCAGCGCTAAAAATAATAATAATACTAAATCCAATACGAACTACAAAATGAATGCATCAAAATGTTGCTCTGATACATTTATGAAAGTATTAACTCTTTCTGATTAATTTGTCTTCGGAATCTACGTTTAATTTCCTTAGTCCCTACAAGCAAATAAAAAGACTTATTAATTTTTTTCGTACATCCCACCTTCCTTTTCCTCTGTTTTTCATTACTCATTTTTTTCTTCTATTCCCTTCGATCTGTTCTTCCTCTTCGATTCATCTTTTCCTTTCTTTTCTAAGATATACGTTCTCCCTGTCTGTCTCTTTACTACAGGCCAGCTTGTTTTCCGAGGACCTGTCTTCCATTAGCGAGAATGTCCTGAAAACTATGGATCCAAGTGGTTTCCGTAGGTCCAGCGGATTTGTTTTGCTTACGCGAACGCCTCCTTGACGGAACCCAAGACAAAATAACTAAAAACAGTTCCGGTAGATTTGTTTTGCTTACGCGAACGCCTCCTTAACGGAACCCAAGACTAAATAATCAAAAATAGTTCCGGCGGATTAGTTTTGCTTTCGTGAACGCCTCCTTGACGGAACCCAAGACAAAATAACGAAAAACAGAATCATTTTGCCTACGACGGAGCCATCTTGCGCCCGCCGTCCGTGTCTCTGGCTTGCGTCTTGGTCCACAGCCGCATCCAGTAAAGTGATCCTCGGTGGCTGCAACCGGTTTTATTTCGTGGATCCGGCGTGCTTATCCGAGACAGGTACGCCCGGGCCGGAATACAGATGAGGCGCACGGGCTGAGTGCCGCGGCGACGGGCGTGGGCGTGCGGGTGACGTCACGACGCGAAAACAAGGCGCAACTTGGAGGAGACACTGACTCTCCCTTTCTCTCGGTGTTGTTTCTCACTTTCGCTCCCTTCCTCTTTCCTCTTGCTTTTCTAATATTTTTTATAACCTCCCCTCTCTTATTTTCTCTTTCTTTTTCCTCTTTGGAAATATCAATATCTTTTCTATCTCCAGGACCGACTTAACAGCTGTGGAGAGGGAGGGGGAAGGGGGGGGCTCGACTTCTTGTGCAAGACCCTTAAACAATAAAATTTCTTTCAATATCCAAGATTCAAGAGTCATTTTAAAACAATGGAGTTCTTAGTCTACATCATAACAGTAAAGTCATAATGAAACAGTATGAAATTGAATTGTATAGAGTATTCAGATATGTTATAATACTTATCAATATTTACTTTAATCCAGTTCTTTCTTTCTCCTCCGCTCTCGTTATCACCTTGTTCTTACCATTCCTTATTATCGTACTACTATCGTTTCTCTCTTTTCTTCTCGCTATACTTCCTTATTTTTCATTCCTTCATACTACTCCTCTCCTCCTTATCTTCCTGCTCTTCTGCTCCTATCTTTCCCTTCCATCTTCTTCACCTTCTCGTTCACTCTCTCCTCCTTCCTCTCCTCCTTCCCCTTCTCCTTTATCTTCTTCTCCCTTCACTTCTCCTTCTCCATCTTCTTCACCCTTCACTTCTCCTTCTTCATCTTCTCTCTCCTCTTCCTTCTCCTTCTTCTCTCCCTCTTCCTTCTCTTCTTCTCTTTCTCCTCCTCCTCCCCCCTCCTTAATCCCCTTCCTCCTTCCCCAATAAGTATTAATCTCCCAGCCCTGGACGTCCATAAAAGAGCGGAAAGGCCATAAAGATGTTGGCAGGACCATACGCAGTGGCGGCATTTAATCGGTTTATTGATGAGTTTAATGACAAATTAGAAAACGGGGGTTGGCGAATCATAGAAAAAGGGAAATATTTAAGGGTTAACTTTTAAAAATATATGTGTGATTCTAAATTCAAAAACGCTTAATGTAGATAAGAAATATGGCTTGAAGAAAATGTGTAATGGAAATGAAATAATTCAAAAGAATCAAATTAATTAAACAAGCGAAATGCACGGCTGTAAAAGAGAATCATTTAATCAAATGATGAAACACTTTATTAACGTGTTATACACTTTAACGATAAATAATTAGACAAATCTAAATAACCAAGAGAAAAAATTCTGATTAAGAAAAAATATGAACATAAACACATCAGTGAAATCAAAACGTGAGTAATTAATATCAAACCAATCAGTAAAAAAATAAAAAATAAAATATTCAGATATCAGTGGAATAAAATGTTGCATCGTCACTATATCCCTAATAATACAATAATGATTATCACAACAACAAGAATAATAATAACAATAATAACAATGATAATAATAATCACAACTACTATCATCGTCAGCTATCATTATTACAATTCTCATCATCATTATAGAAATAACATTAATAATATCACCACCAACAACATCATACAATAACATTAAATATCACCACAACAAAAACAACAACAAAATTTCAAAACCACTTCATCAGCTTCGTCTTTGGTCTTACACACTATGTTGGTGTAGTTGATGTTCACGTAATCCAACCCGGAACAGATGGCTAACATTTTGTCCTCTACATCTTGTCCGAATTTGTTCAGCAACCGATCCGCTAATTTTGGATCCTGTGGGTGAGGAGGGATTTTTTGTTACTGATTATGAGGAGTGAGTGAGTGAGTGAGTGAGTGAATAAATGAGTAAAATGAGAGAGGAGAGGGAGAGGGAAGAGGGAGAGGGAGAGGAGAGGGAGAGGGAGAGAGGGGAGAGGGAGAAGAGAGAGAGAGAGAGAGAGAGAGAGAGAGAGAGAGAGAGAGAGAGAGAGAGAGAGAGAGAGAGAGAGAGAGAGAGAGAGAGAGAGAGAGAGAGAGAGAGAGAGAGAGAGAGAAGAGAGAGAAGGAGAGAGAGAGAGAAGAGAGAGAGAGAGGAGAGAGAGAGAGAGAGAGAAAGAAAGAAAGAAAAAAGAAGAAAGAAAGAAAGAAAGAAAGAAAGAAAGAAAGAAGAAAAAGAAAGAAAGAAAGAAAGAAAGAAAGAGGGAGGGGAAAGAGAGAGAGGGAGGGGGAAAGAGAGAGAGGGAGGGGGAGAGGGGGAAGAGAAAGAGGAGGGAAAGAGAGAGAGGGAGGGGAGAGAGAGAGAGAGAGAGAGAGAGAGAGAGAGAGAGAGAGAGAGAGAGAGAGAGAGAGAGAGAGAGAGAGAGAGAGAGAGAGGAGAGTGAGTAAGAGACAGATAGACAGACAGACAAATATGTACATGAATAATGGTCAACTAATGATGATGAGTGAAATCGTCAATTTGAATACAAGGAAAGCGATTATTCGACTGAGTATTGGCGAACTAAGCGTGCTAAATCGCTGGTTAACAGTAAATTAATTGATTATGATTGATATCGTTAATGATATTATGAACAATATATTGGCGTTGTAATAATGGCTGCATTGGTATGAACTGCATCACCAACATCATATATCAACATCACCGTCATCATCATAAACAAAGTTATCATTATAAAGATCACTTCACACACAAAAATAACACAAGATAGAAAAATCATAACCAACAGAAGAAATCAGAAGCTGAAGAAGCTATCTATCTATCTATCTATCTATCTATCTATCTATCTATCTATCTATCTATCTATCTATCTATCTATCTATATATATATATATATGTATATATATAATTCACCGCGACATACCACAACAGCATTCAATCATCACCCACGTCATCACAAAGCACAACTGGTCATAATTCACCACAAAATAATAAACCACTACAAATAACATTCGTTCCAAACCCATGTCATCCCAAAGTACACCATAAGGCACCACAAGCGGCTATAATTCACCACAAAATGTAAGCCCTAACCAGTGATAAGCCATTCAACACAAACATCACCACAAACCAATCACCACAAGTCGACACAAACGATCACCACACAACGAACACACACACACAACCACGACAAACCAATCACAGAACCTCACCACAAACCAATCACAACACAACGTCACCACAAACCAATCAACCCACACGTCACGACACACATCACACAATTAATCACAAGTCGCCACACACATCACAAATCAATCACAATCACAAACACATCACAAATCAATCACAAGTCACCACACACATCACAAATCAATCACAAGTCACCACAAACCAATCACAAGTCACCACACACATCACAAATCAATCACAGTCAACACATCACAAATCAATCACAAGTCACAGCACATCACAAATCAATCACAAGTCACCACACAACACAATCAATCACAAGTCACCACACACATCACAAATCAATCACAAGTCACACAACAATCACAAGTCACCACAACAATCACAAACCAAACACAAGTCACCACACACATCACAATCAATCACAAGTCACCACACACATCACAAATCACAAGTCACCACAAACCAATCACAAATCAATCACAAGTCACCACAAACCAATCACAAGTCAATCACAATCAATCACAAGTCACACAAACAATCACAAATCAATCACAAGTCACCAACAATCAAGTCACAATCACCACAAATCAAATCACACAAGTCACCACAAACACAATCACAAATCAATCACAAGTCGCCACAACCAATCACAAGTCACCACACACATCACAAAATCACAAGTCACACACAACCACAAACCAATCACCCCACCCGTCACCACACACATCACAAATAATCACAAGTCGCCACACACATCACAAATCAATCACAGTCACACAATCACATCACAAGTCACCACACACATCACAAATCAATCACAAGTCACCACATACCATCACAAGTCACCACATCAACAATCACAC